ATATGTGTGTGTGTGTGTGTGTGTGTGTGCGCGCGCGCGCGTGTGTGTGTGTATGTATATGTGTGTGTGTGTGTGTGGCTGTCTGTCTGTCTATCTATATATCTCTCTCTCTCTATCTATCTATTATATATATATATATATATATATATATATATATATATATATATATATATATATATATATATATATATATATATATATATATATATATATATATATATATATATATATATATATATATTCTTTTAATTATGGATTAGATGTTAATTATGGAGATTAATACTATTGTTATTGATCAGTTGAGAGCAATATTTCTGCTGGCAATTGGGCACACAGCAGGAAATCTTTTAACAAACATTAGCCTCGGAAAAGTTGCGGTTTCGTTCACGCACACAATCAAAGCTATGGAACCTTTCTTCACTGTCTTGCTCTCTCTCCTCTTCTTCGGCGAGGTATATAATAAACTTAAATAATCTTCCTTTAATAATACATAAATATTTTTGGGAATAAGCTAATATGTGTATTTTAGTGTATTATTACATCCAAATTGCCATAAAAGATAAAGGAGTGTAGTGCATATGGTTTCTACCTATACGTATATCTGTATATGTGCATTCAATTTTACAGAATTTTTTTTTTAATTTCAATTCGTTTTAAGTTGATGTTTTTAATAATTATAAATTGCATCTTATCATTAGGCACAAAGTAAATATCACTACAATATTTTCATGAGAAAGCGTCAAAATACGCGAGTAAATTGAAAAAAAGAATTAAAGTTAATAAGCAATGAGGACATCCTTGGGTATATATGGTAGACGAAAAACTCGAATAAGTTCACTATAGTTAGATAATTTATTATTATTTGAAGTAATTTTGAAATGTTTGAGTGTGATAAAAACAGAGGCCTACACTATGGGTTGTTTCTTCCCTTGTGCCTATCGTCGCCGGAGTGGCATTAGCGTCATTTACCGAAGTCTCTTTCAACTGGTACGCTTTTTTTTTTTTTTTTTTTTTTTTTTTTAATATATATATATTTTTTTCATTTTTAGCAACTAATTGTTAGTCTGATAATGATTTTTTTTTTTACATTTTAAACAGGATAGGTTTCGGCAGTGCGATGGCTTCGAACGTGACGAACCAAACTCGAAACGTGTTCAGTAAAAAATTAATGGTTAAAAAGGAAAGCTTGGATAATATCAATCTATTCTCGATTATAACGGTGATATCGTTTTTACTGCTTGCTCCTACTGCTATTATATTGGAAGGTGTCAAGTTTAGTCCTTCGTACTTCCAATCTGCTGTAAGTATTGTTACCGAAAACCCGAAGTTTTTAAAGGTTTTTTTTTTTTTTTATGAAATAAATTATTAATGTGGTGCATGCTGATTTGATTCAGGCAAGTCAAGGTTTGGATGTTAGAAAATTGTGTGTAAGAGCTCTTTTATCTGGTTTTTGCTTCCACACTTATCAACAGGTATCATTTTACTACCTTTATTATTATTATTTATAATTTTTTTTTTTTTTTGTCAATTGAAATGTTGGAGCATTATTATTTTTTTTTTCAATTCAATTTTTTTTTCAACAGGTATCATTTTACTAGCATTATTTACACCCCACTATAAATTTGATTGATACTGCATTCTATAATAAGCCTAGACAACTAGGGGCAAAAACCGGATGCATCGAACCGAAATTAGTCATTTGAAAAAGAAAAAAAAATCAATTAATTTAACTAATTCCAACTCTGTTTCGAAATTTTTCGAGAAAAAAGTTAGAATTTCAGAAACCATAATGAAAATGAAAAAGTCGTTACCGAAAAAAAGAAAAAAAAATGGAGAAATTGGAACAAAACCATAAATCTTGATTCAGTTTTCACCCTAGTATAAACACATCATCATAACATAATAGAAATGTCATTTGAACATACCCATAATCACGAGATTATTTTCAAAAATTAAAATCGGATCGTAAATCGAAATTCGAAAAATCGAAAAATTATCAAAGCTCCATTTGCAGAACTAACTTGATTTGTTTGTTACATTTAAATGGGTGCAGGTTTCATACATGATACTACAAATGGTATCACCGGTGACACACGCAGTCGGTAACAGTGTGAAGAGAGTGGTTGTCATCGTATCGTCTGTCATCTTCTTCCAAACGCCCGTTTCACCTATTAATTCATTAGGTAACTAAAAAAACTCCGATTTTTCTCGATATTTCACTTTGTTTTTTCTTTTTTTTAATTTACGAGCTAACGATATTTATATATATCAGGAACTGCATTGGCACTTGCTGGAGTATTCTTGTATTCAAGAGCAAAGAGGATCAAACCAAAAGATGCTTAAATTCAATATCTCATTATGTAGTATATATGTAGGCATTTATTATGTACACTTTACATTAAGAAGATAAAACGAAAAAAATTCGAGTTTTTTTTGTTCGTTTTTTGGATGTAATTAATTAGGGATTAGACGAATCTGAGTCAAGTCGAGTCGAACACATATTTTGTTCAAATTAATTTGAATTTTTATTAGAGTTTCCAAAGTTGTGTTTGATTTAACCGACCTCAAATAAACATATAAAACGAATTAATTATTGAAAAACCTGAAATTAATGGACTTAATTTTATATTTCTAATTAAATATTTGTTTTAAAAATATGTAAAACCTCTATAAATTAATACAGTCGGTACTAACAAAATTCTTTAATTTAGCGAAATATTAAATTATCAAATTAATAATTTAGTAAGTTTTTACCGAGTCGGAACATGAAGAAACTATTATTTAAGCGAAATTATTAATTTATCGAGATTCTATTAAAAGTTAAAAAGGCTAATTACACAAATTTAGATAATTATCAAATTATCAGAGTTATACTTGCAGTTCAATTCAATGTACAGCTTTTGATGAAAATGCTATTCCGCCAGCTTCCCACGGCAATGATCGGCGGCGCCGCCACTCTACCCTCGTCGTCTTTCCTTGCCGTGAGGAGTAACCATATATTGTCAATCCCCCACAATCATGCAAATGTACCCCACTGCAATTTAATCAAAATGGGCCTCTCATCCCAGAAATACATAGCCGTTAAACTACTCGTCATGTATTTGGATTCCAGGAAAACTTTCGAAATTGATCGGATGCTGAAGGAATTTAATGGGTTCAATTTGGTTGTTCATAACTGTTTGATAAACGCAAATCTTCAGTGGGGGAATGCGTTCGATGCTTGCCGCCTGTTCGACGAAATGCCTGAGAGAAATGAGGTTTCTTGGACTGCACTGATTTCTGGTTTGCTGAGAAATGGAAATGTGGATAGAGCAATGCATTATTTCGAGAGGAACCCTTTCTCGACTGTTTTCACGTGGACCGCAACGATTAGCGGGCTTGTCCAAAATAGCATGAGTTTTCGAGCAATGGTGTTGTACAAGAAAATGCTTCAATCAGGAGTTTTGCCGAATCATATTACTTTTACTTCTGTCATAAAGGCTTGTATCGAGTTAGGCGATTTTCGATTAGGAAATAGTGTATTGGGGTTGATTGTTAAGACTAGTTTTGAGGATAATTTATGCGTTTCGAATTCACTGGTTAAGTTATTTTTGAGATTTGGTGAGATTGATTCTGCAAGAAAAACATTTGATAGGATGGAGGGAAAGGATGTGGTTTCTTGGACCACAATATTAGACATGTACGTCGAAATGGGCGACTTAAGAGAAGCTCGCAGGATATTCGATGAAATGCCCGAAAGAAACGAAATCACTTGGAGTGCAATGATATCAAGATTTAGTCAGAGTGGCAATGCAGAAGAGGCAGTTAAATTGTTCCGACAAATGGTTATAGAGAAATTCAAACCGAATATATCGTGCTATTCTAGTGTAATAAGTGCGTTAGCCAGTTTGGAGGCTTTGCAAGCTGGAAGAAATATTCATGCTCATGTTACGAAGATTGGTATGGAGATGAATGTATTTGTCGGTAGCTCACTTGTTGACTTTTATTGCAAATGTGGGAACACTAAAGATGGATTCTTGCTTTTCGATTCTCTTCCGTATAAGAATATCGTTTGTTGGAATACTATGGTTTCTGGTTATAGTTTGAATGGACAACTCGCAGAAGCTATGGAGCTCTTTAATCGGATACCTCGTAAAAACAACATATCATGGAACTCGTTGATTACTGGTCATTTATGTGTTGAGAATTTTAGCGAGGCATTTGAAGTGTTCAACGAGATGATTTTGTGTGGAGAATTGCCAAATAAATCCACGTTTTCGAGTGTTTTAAAAGCTTGTGCAAATATGGCCTCGCTAGAGAAGGGTAAATACGCACACGCAAAAGCTCTAAAACTCGGCTTTCAGCATGACATATTCGTGGGGACTGCGCTAGTGGATATGTACGCGAAATCCGGAAGCGTAGAAAGTTCTAGAATGATCTTTCATAGAATGCCCATGAAAAACGAGATCGTTTGGACAGCTATGATTCAAGGGCTGGCTGAAAATGGATTCGCAGAGGAATCATTGAGCCTATTTCAAGAAATGGAAAAAACGTCATCAATTGCACCGAACGAGCTTATTCTTTCATCGGTTTTATTCGCTTGCTCTCATTGTGGTTTAGTAGATGAAGGGTTGAGTTATTTCAATTCGATGGAAAAAATTTACGGCGTAAAGCCAAACGAGAGGCATTATACGAGCGTCGTGGATATGCTTTCTCGGTCGGGGCGGCTTCTTGAGGCGGAAAAGTTTATGGCGAATATGCCCTTTGAGCCGGAGGCGAATGCGTGGGCGGCTCTATTGAGTGGTTGTAAAACTTACGGGAATGAAAGTTTGGGTGAGAAGATAGCTGAAAAGCTCTTAAAAGTTGCAGAGACGAAAGTTGGAGGGTATATTCTTTTGTCGAATGTTTATGCCTTAGGAGGGAAGTGGGTCGACGTGATGAATACGAGGGAGTTGATGAATGAGAGAGGGATTAAGAAAAATGGTGGATGTAGCTGGATTGAGCTGAGAGATCGAGTGCATGTGTTTTATTCGCAGGATGAAAATCGTACTAGATCGATGGAGATTTATTCGGTTTTGCAACTGTTTAATTGTGAAATACAATCTGCTTTTGCTTGAAACAACTCTGTTGATTTGTTTGTTACAGTGATAACTGTATATTAATATTATAAATCTAATTTTTGAGACTAATTTTAAAATTAAGTTTAGTAATTAAAAATAAAAATAATAATTTGGAAAAAAAAAAGGTCCAAAATTTGAAATTTTTGAATGAGAAATTCAATTCTAATTTACACCCCTACAGTCGTATCATTGTATCCTCGGTCGCTTCTTTCGAACGCCTGTTTCGTCAATAATTTATTGGGTAAAATTCATTTTGCACCCCTGTACTATGTGAAAGGTATCATTTACCCCCCTAATGTATAGAAAACATCAAACACCCCCTTACTTTTAATGGTCAATGGTCAAAATTTTAACGGTGTTAAATTTTGAGTGCCCAATGACTCGTTTACCCTGTTTTTAAGTTTGATGTAATTCCTAATTTTTTCTAGGCATATTTTTTGTGGATTGTTGACGATTTCTAGCGTTCGTTCAAATTAGGGTTTTTTGTCGATTTTAGGATTTAATTTTATTCTTGGTTTTCTTTTTCAAGAATTTTTCATTATAATATGAAAAGCTTTGTTTTTAATTTGTGATTCTTTCATATGGTTTGATTCCAATTTTATGGTTTCTTTTACATTTCAGGACTTTTAGTTTTCCTTTTTGTGGGTTTTACATTTATAATTTGCGAAGCTTCATTCTTATTTATCGACTATTCAGCTTTTTTATAAGAAAAATGGTTGAAAATGTAAAAAAAAAATGATTGAATAAAGTGAAAAAAAAGGGCGGAAAAAAGTGAAAAATCCAGTGAACATTTGTCAAAACGAAGCATCCTATATTTAGAAATTTTTTGGGGTATTTTCGTTAAAATAAATAAAGCCAACATTTCTTTGCAATAATCGGTCAAAGGGTTTGACTAACGGAATTAGAAAAAAAAAAAAAAAAAAAAAAAACACTAACGGCAGGGGGGTGTTTGATGTTTTCTATACTTCAGGGGGGTAAATGATACAATTCGCATAGTACAGGGGTGCAAAATGAATTTTGCCCTAATTTATTAGAAGTATACTAAAAACCTCCGATATTTTTCGACAATTCCTCGTTTTTTTTCATACATTTACAAGCAAGATATCATTACAGCCTTGATTTCAAGTCGTTAACGCTTCAACTACGGTTTTTCGTACACATAGATAGTCGCACGTTGCCAAATATACAAGCTTTTATACTATAAACATGAATATGCACAGGGAATTAAAGAAATAAAAAGAAGCAAGTGTCCCATCTCACTTTCACATGAATGAATCTCCATAACTTACGATAATTTGAAGCAACAAAAGAGTGATGAGTTTATCTACCAACCATATAATTAGAGATTTACAACAGAAATCCATGGTAGTAAGCATTTCTGTCTACATCCTACGAAACACGTCTAGCAAAAAGTGTAGCAACTTTAGATAGAGTTAGGCTTTTTCATCATTTTGTGGGGGGATTTTTCTGACCGAAAAGTATTTAAGGTCTTGCAAACAAAAAGATAAATCCCCCCAACGAGCAATGACAACACTTGAAAGCAAAAAAGTTGGTTAGAATGTCAAAAGCATGGCGAAGGACAAAATGCACCCAGTTCATGGAAACTGGGCTAGGTGGGGCCCGCTCAACCAAATCTCTCGGGGCTGCGACTACGAGATCTGCCAGAGTTATCCGGAGCAGCCATCATACGCTCGTGAAAACTCCCCCCAGTGGCACTTGTGTCATTTCCAAAGGATCCAGAATCATACCTGTGCAATCATAACAATAAATAGTCAACCTTAACTGTACTAACAAGTGGCGGGTGGGGGTGCGGGTGGGGGTGGGGGTGGGGGTGGGGGTGGGGGTGGGGGTGGGGGTGGGGGTGAGAAAAAACAAACCTATTTTGCTGCTGCTCACTGTTATAACCTCCGGAGAAACCCTTATCTGAGGATGATGAGTTACCCCAACCACCATTTCCTCCACCACTTCCACTGTAGGAAGAATTGTAATTTCCACCGGAATCCGAATCTTGTCCGTAAGGGGCCCACTGCCGCCTTCCACCACCACCGCCGCCATATGAGACCATATTACGGAGTTCGGCGGGAACATTTTGATTTGCTCCTTCGAGAATTTTGACAAGTTCAGAGGCATGCTTTGAGTTCTGGTCGCCGAAGAAAGTATAAGCCACTCCGGTGGCACCAGCTCTCCCAGTTCTTCCGATTCTGTGGACATAGTCTTCTACTCCGGTTGGGAAGTCATAATTTACCACCACCCTGTCATAAGATTGATACATTAGAAACCGGAAAAATATACATATACGTAAATATTGTACAACATAGACGAGATTACTTTAAACAGCTACGAACCTTATATCCTTAACGTCGAGACCACGAGCAGCAACATCAGTGGCTACAAGGACTGGAGATCTTCCTGTGCGAAATTGACTCAAAATATGTTCCCTCTCGCCCTGAGATTTGTCTCCGTGAATTGCAGCAGCTCCAAATGGATGGCTCAAGTTATCTGCAAGTTGATCGCACATTCTCTTTGTAGAACAGAAAATAATAATCTTTGATCCTGGTTCTTGAGATCTCAATATCTGTTCCAGGCGCCTACGCTTGTCCGATTGTGATAAAACTTCAACATGCTGCAACATAATAGATAAAACTACCGAGTTAATTCCACTAAATTAACCTCCAATAATGTAGCCAAAAAAGGAGAAATTTTAGCATATATATACCTGGGTTATAGATTTGTTTGCAGCAAGCTCATCGGCATTCCCAATGTTGACCTGAACAGGGTTGACCAGTAAATCAGCTGCGATTCTCCGCACCTCCTTTGGCCATGTTGCTGTGTACATCAGGGTTTGCTTACGAGAAGGCACCTCTTTCATAATCTTTCTTATCTGGGGTTCGAAACCCATGTCCAACATTCTGTCTGCCTCGTCTAATACGAAATACGACACTTGATGGAGGCTAACTCTCTTCATCTCGAGAATGTCGTTCAATCGACCAGGAGTAGCCACCACAACATCCACACCTCTTTCTATCTCTTTCAACTGAGGACCTTTAGGAGCACCTCCATATAAACACTTCATTAAATCAAAGATAAAAACGAATATCAATGAGAAACTCGGAGAAACATAAGAAAGATATAAAAAAATCAATAATTATACCAAAAAAAATAATGTTTATGAAGACAGTTGACAAGCACAAAGACAATACTCAATCTGAAAAGTCAGTCCAACTCCATACATCCACAAGAATGAAATTTGCAGAATATTACAAGGAAGACAGTGTTAAAATCATACTGTACAAGATATCCTAGATGATTGTCCAAACTTCACAGCTTCGTCTTGTATCTGAGTTGCCAACTCTCTTGTGGGTGAGAGCACCAAAACCGTTGGACCTAATCGGGGATTATTACGCCTTTGCTTCAGATGAATAAATCCAGGAATCAAGTAACCCAAAGTCTTGCCAGATCCTGTCTTGGCAATGGCTACTATATCACGGCCTTGAAGAGCAACTGGCCATGATTGTGCCTGGATTGGAGATGGAGCAGAAAAGCCAGCACGCTGTGCCTGAAATATGTGAAAGAAAAAACTCAGAAATTCCTATGAGGAGAGTTAGTGCTTCAAAATCGCTCTAATTTGTTTAGAACTTAAGCAAGGGGCCGAAGAAATAAGAAGCATCATCATTCAATAAAGTCAGCATTACTTGCTGATGGAAAGAAGAGTAGGAGGATGCCTCCTAAATCACACTATACCTCCAGTCTTACAAAAATTGCATATAGTTTATTTGATCGGAATTCAGACTCGTAAATGTATTGAGCTGCAAAGATATTACCAAAATATAAATCGGAATCATACCTCCCTTAGAATTTCTGAAGGAAAACCAGTAGCTCCGAATGAGGTGAAAGGATGGGGAACATTTTCTCCCTAGCCAATTGAGTAAAGCCAACCAATTAAAATTTATTAAAAATATTTCAGGAAGATAATTAAAGAATATGCATTATTAAACAGGAAATCCTTATCATACAGAACTCTCGGATCAGAGTGTTTGAAGTTTAAACTCCAGGTATTTCACTTCTCCATAAAAATTGACATGAATTACACATTGGACTCTTAGTCAACTACAGCTACACACACACACACACACACACACACACACACACACACACACACACACACACACACACACACACACATATATATATATATATATATACAGAGCGAGATGAAATACAGATGCTTACAGAAACAGTAATTTCATGACGACGACGATAAGACTCAGCAGCCGAAGCAGCTTCTGCACCGTTAGATGCATTTGGTCCAGGCCCAGCACTGGCTTTCACTTCTTGATGATTCGGTGCATAATCTGAGCTGTTTTTGGCACTCTAACACAATGCAGACAAAATGACAATATAATAGTGAGTCTTTGTAAATTTAAAGACATTCTTGTACAAACAAAAATGTTTGTAATATATATACTTCTAAAACTACATTAGACCTCCAAATGTACGTTGAATTCAAGATAGCAAGATTTACCTCACAGTTCACTTTAAAGAGTACAATTGAGATATAAAAATGCAGATCAATTTATCTCAACTCAATATAAAAAATTGATAAAATATTCGATTAAAGCTATTATGTTTTTTACGCAAACTCTGCATAAACAGAATTCATAAAACTGAAGAATATTTATGAAAGAAAAACATGAAAACCTGTTGAGTTCCTGCTCCAGAATAAACATTCGCTGAACCACCATCACTTTCTTGCTTAGTTCCTGCTCCAGAATAACAATTCGCTGCGCCACCATCACTTCCTTGCTTATATGCATCTCCATCTTCATTTTTGCTGCTCTGTTCCTGGGAATTCTGAACCGACGAATCCAAAGATTTGCTTGACGGTACAGAGATTGCATCTGACGGGGCAACAGGCTTCTCATATTGGGTTATATTGGTCACTGGATTCCAGAAGTAAAGATATCCAGTTTTACCATCAACCAGTCCTTTCCATGGTTTTGGGAGGGTGGGATCCTCTGGCGCATACCGTACACTAGCAGCAGCCATATTTTCTATTCTGTAACCATTAAATACACAAACGAGGCGAAGAAAAGTACAACAAAGATCAGAACTCAAACAAAAATCAGTTATCATACCAAAACTAAAATATACTATCTGGTTAACAGATTCATTTTCTGAAGAAACACAAATTGAATCAAACAGACAATCCATACAAGGCAGATAATACCACAATCAAATTAGAATACGCAAAACAGGACAAAAAGATGAAATGCCGGAGCTTCATCGGGACCAAAAACATGAAAATACAAATCATCTTGACATTCCTAAAAGCTAACTTACTATAATAATACTTTTACCTAAATATACAAAACACAAACATAAAAACTAACACCTCAACCTTGCATGCACGAACTGCTTACAGACCAAACGAGTATTATATATTTTCGTCTAAGCAACAGTGAAAACCTAAATAAAAGGGGGGAAAACTGCAAATACATAAAAATCTAAAACCCAAGCAGCAACAAACAGAAGCAAAATCGCGTAGATGATTAACATTTTAAACCCTAGAAATAGTATCAGAAATGTTGGTCCGAATGCACATTCATATCTCAAGCATTACGTGCAGATCTAGAGTAAACTACTTTCTACAAAAGAAAAATGTCAAAATAATCTAAGAACCTGACGGCAAGGAGCGGTGACCGTACCGTACGACGTCGTTTTGCGAAGCACAAAAAGGCGGAGCAGAAATGCTTCCTCTTCCGGTGCGGTTTTCCGACGGCTGACTCCTCTTTCCTTCTCCGATGAGTGATCGGAAGTTAAAATTGTATAATGTATATAGTGTTAGAGAGAGAAAGAGAGAGAGAGAGAGAGAGAGAGAGAGAGAGAGAGAGAGAGAGCCACGCTTCCCAGAAACCAGAAGCAAGTGAAGTGAGAGTGAGAGAGAGAGAGAGAAATGGCTGACAAGTACTTTTTAGTATCAGGGGAAAATGAAAAGTTAACCCATGTATGGTAATTTATATTTAACCATGGTTAAATGTTAGATGGCGCGTTCTGGAATCGTGTCCGCTGTGTCTAGTACAAATTCGAAAAAGTATAATTTGTTTATTATAAATTATTAAATATATTCTAGGTAAACAAATGTATAAAATAATCTATTCTTTTATTTATATATATACGATGAAAATGTGAAATTCAGCCCAAGTATAATTGACTGTTTTGTAATGTACTTGTCAAATTATGTAGAATTGTATTGGAAAATTAGTATATAACATGGATACATACATAGTAGGGACAATTAATCAAACTCCATCTATGCTTTTTTCTTAATTAGGGGTGAAAATTGAAACGGACACATTTCCAATTCCGTCCGAATCGGAAAATTTCCAGTTTTGGAACAAAAAGTTTCAGGCTCGAAAGTTTCAATTTCCGACATTTTGTTTTTGTTTTAAACAGGAATACATATTAGATTCCAAATTACGATCCAAATCTCAAAAAAAAAAATCGAAAATTCTATAAAAAGAATCAAAATTACACTTGTAATACCAATAATATTTTATGTATTTTGTATTATAGGTGAGCAAAAATTGAAAATTATAACAAGTTTTTTCGTTCCAACTTTTGAAATCCGATATATGATTCTTACATATATTCTTTTGGAACCGAATTGGAATTACTTATCCACTTTAAAAAAAAATGATTTTTTTTTTCCGAAAATGCTAGTTCCGAATCCGATCCATCAGATATTTATACATTAAACAAGAGTAGTAGCATTCACTAAAATGGAGCCATCTCAAATTAGGCAATAATTAGCAGTGTAACAACAAAATCCATAAATAAATAACATTTAGCCCAAAAGTTTTAACCAATAAAATCTGCTTCAAAATTGAAGCTTCTACTACTCCCTACTACGCATCACACACTTAACCAAATCTAATATTCGAAAATAATCGTAAAAGAGTGCAGATTCTTTTCCCTCCAAACCATCCCGACTAACCCTATTACTACCAGCCAAATTATTACAAGGGCTTCCACCGACTACCAGATCGAATCCACCTATATTGTTGATAATCTGTACAACTCTGTCTACATCAAACTGCTGAACATCGTCAAAGTCGATCAGGTTACCTGTCTGGTTAGTCTGCTCCCACCAACTCCTCACAATGTCTCGGTTGACCTTTGACTTCTCGATCGAGACCACATTCTTCAGCTTGATTCCGAGGCGATGAAGGGCGACCTCGGCCCCACCAATTCCCGAGAAGAGGGAAAGCATGTTTATGCCGTTTGGGAAAATGTCTTTCAAAACAGATAGATGGTAAGCTACTGTGTCAACCTGTTTTTTTTTTGTTTTCCAAAAGCCCAAGTCAAATGTGTCATAATTACAAATCTTTTCTAGAGTACGAAAATAATCCAAAGTCGCAATGTGCATAATTCATACACAATGCAGATAATCCAAATTATATATAGCAGGTTTTAAGGTAAATTCTTTTGTCAGAATCCTAAAAAGATGGTGGTGCTGTAGTCACTCAAATCTAACAGTAAGGTAGAATCTCTAACAACTTTGACCTCATTCTTTCACCATAAATATTAAACAATGATGATGCACAAAAGACACACACATGTCTTCTCTGTCAACAATGCATGCATGCATACACAAGCCTGTCATTTAAACGAGTGAATTTGCAATCTTGACCAAGCTTTTTTGAAAATTTTCAAGTGGATAAAAAATGAAAGTTATTCTTTTTTTTTCCAAAAAAGACATCGAAATGATGAAAAAAGAGATATCGAAGTAGTTCTGACCATTCAATAATATTCCAACTTAAATTCGAAGTTCTTAGTTACTTCGACCACATGAATCCTATCAATGAAATATAACTATATTTTTTTTATTTTTGTGAAACAATATTACATTCAAACATGATAAATTAAAATAGCTGAAAAGTAATTTACTGACCTGAAAAGAGTTTCCGAGTGATTTGTATCTGTCAGTCCTGCTTATGCCGCCTCCTCTGGTGTGGTTCTTCGGGAACCCCAACAGCATCTCCACCTCGTCGGGCTCTAGTGGGGCCACCTTGTTCCTCCCCACCCAAACCAAATTCCACTTCCGGCACTGCTCGATCACGAATTTCTGGACTGATTCGGGGGGGTCATTGTCGTAACGCTCCAAAGCGCTCCGAATCCTCTCGGTCAGCTTGGCACTGCCAATAGCAGTCTGTATGCAGTTCAGCTTGTCTCGTGGGTCCCACGCAGGCCACCACTTCCTCGTCAAAGGGAAGGCTTGGTGGATAGTAAGAGGCGGCAGTGGAATGAGAGGAAACCGGTTCTTGATCGGGAGGTTGTGGACATATCCTCGCTTTCTGGCAGTGGCTGAGAAGTACTTTGAGTCCACAAACTCCGGCTCGATCTCGTACAAGAATCTGGATATGGTGTCCCACACTCCCTTAGGTGCAAGTGCCACGTTCTCGTAGTAGAAGTATGGGGGCCCTTTTGCTGCTTCTGGCAAAGAGCGTCGAAAATCTTCGAGAGGCTGAGAAGGGACGCCGAATCCTATCATCGGATTAGGCAGGCGTATGGTGTCTTCTGCTCCAACTTTCTTCTTGCACATCTCAATTAACTTCCTCTTCTTCATTGGGTTGCTCCCGTTGTAGATGCGCTTCGTCTGTGACAAACGTGATAGAAAGGTGGTTAGGTGTGAAGAATTAATTGATGATGACATGACTAGAATAAGTTAATGGAGTTTCTAAAATAGATTAATAAGAGAAGGAGAAAGTTATACCTCTTCGGGCAAGTAACAGTCCTGCTCTCTAGCCACTTGAGCGGCACATATGAAATCAGTCAAAACGAGAATGGAAGCTTCCTGGCCTGAAACAATAACATACGCTGCTTAGCATTATGTGAATATATGCATGTTTATCTAGAAAAGGTTCAAAAAAAATTTGTAGACCGAAACATTTATAAGCCCAATTTTTTTCTAAAGAAAAGGGTTAAAACATGACATCATAATAAACAAATAAAGTTCAGAAAAACGAGAAAGACAATTTCAAACTTGTCATGAAGCAAAAAGAAATACGCATTTTATATACATACCACATCTTTCCATAGCCGTTGAAGCCTCTTCCCGGGTGTATCCCATACTTGCTAAAGCCAGCAATTTGTTATCTTTCTCAGACAAAGTTGCAAGCGCAGAATCAGGCTCAGTTTTGATTTTGACCTGCAAGGGAGTTTCTTGTTCAATCTTCTACATGCCAAGGTAAAAAATGCACTAACCCCATCATGAAAGCTACACTAGATGACCAGAATGATTATCCACGAATAAAACGCCGAAGTCTCAAGTGACATAAGGAACTCACGAAACAACAGATTTAAAAATGAAACAAAGAGCACAACAAGTATTTATTGAAAACTTTAAACAAATTGGCATTGTGATGTAAATAAAACTAAAAGATGGTTTCGGCCATTCAGTTCTATTAAATACTGTGGTTCCATTTGGATTAGATGAGAGGATTTGAGAAGATGGTTTTAAATGACTCTATATTACGAAGTGTATTTCAAATCCCACACAATGTCTCGAAACTAGTTCAAGTTGAGAGCTAAGGAATTTAAAACAAGCAAGCAAGCTCAATGATTTGTTATTAATATACCATATAAAAGGTGGGGGGACATAGTGAAGTCATGATATCAAATGTGTCTCGTAAACTGAAGAGAGTGTTGCAATGGCAAATTATGTCCATATGAAAAGGAAGAGAACTTAAAAATGACACTTTTCGTAGTCAGGGTTTCCAAAGTAAAGCATACAACAAAAAAGGATGCAAGAAGCTTTAATGTAATGAAATATTATCTCATGCATGCACCAGAAAACATAAGGATATGATATGGGAAATTAAGGGAGTTTGTAAAGCTTGACGTACTTCAACTTCATTTTCGCCCCAACTGTCCGCATCTGAATCTTCATCCAGAAAGTTGTCATTGTAATCATCAACGAATGTTTCATTGAAATCCGAAGAGCTCGGTTCAGAATTGATGTTACATTGTTCTTCGTCTTCAGGAGAGTTTTCAAGACTCTGTGAGAACAAAATGTAGATTATTAATGCTTATTGGACTCATAAAATGAAATTTCAAAAAACAAGCAAAGGCAGATTGTGAGTGAAAAATGAAATTCCGGGAACAAGAACTTATTTATTAGCATCCTTGAAATTGAAACATTAGTAGATATGCTTACCCTAGCGCGAAAACATTTAGGAAAAATTGACATAGTATTGTGGAAACAGAAATCACCAAAAGTATCTCAAAGTCTTAACAGTGATAAATGAGACTGTCATTTGCTGTTATCTGAAATGTGCAAACAAAGGCCATAGATTAGGAAAGACATTACTCACCGAATATGTTAAAAGAGTGTTCAAAATTGACTCTGTGTCTCCTTCTCCTGTACGATAATCAGATATTTAGGCATCAATTATTATACCGCAACTAAAGAAGAAAAAAATCATCAAAAGTAAAGCATCAGTACCATTTTCGTCAATGGCTTTCGACACCAACTTATCCGAAAAGCCCATTCCGACGAAATGAGCAATCAACATAGTACGAGAAGCAGAATTAGATGTGCTTGCCTTCAAAAATAAAGAATTTTAAATTAATCACTCATAATATCCGGGAATATGTGTAGCTAAGCTAGAAACAATTAGTTGATCTTGTCATATGGTTTAGGATTAGCCTCACATTACTAGGAATCAAAAGATAGATTTCTTTTATTAATGTTCTATATTTTAAGTTCCTTCCCAGCAAAGATGCAACACAACTACAGAAACATTTTGAAGATGTATCATAACTGGTTGAAAGAAATGCTTTACATTGAGAAACAAACTGAATGGCCAATTTTATGTAACTGACCAAGTCAGTGGAGAGGGTAAACGAACATAAAGTAATTAGCATTTAGTATTTAAATTCATCGAACATTTAGAGCTATCAAAACAAGCCTAAAGGCTATTTTTTACCTCCCCGTTGCCAATTATAGCTCCACTAAGAGTTGGTAGAGTTGGATGAGAAGATGTTTCAGTTTCTGAACGAATATCCACTTCATCATCGGTATTCCAATCAAGACTTTCGCTTCCAGAGCCATTCCCATCCTGCATGTGGACATTAGGCAAGTACAATAGTATCACATTAATATGAATATAATAGATGCTGAACATTAACTCATCGATTTATCTAAAGAATAAAAGAACGGAAAAAATATACCATGTCTTTCCAAATTTTTGACCAAGCAGAGAATCTCAACTCAAACCTGTACAATACGGCATATATTATAGTTAACATCATTTCTTAAAAAGATAAACATTGAATCATATGTTATAGTTAACATAAATTTTATAGAAAGATTAGGCATTCAATCTTCTGCATTAGAATTATAAAAAAAAATATCGAAGAGGCCATGCGAACAACACAAAAATTGCTGGCATCCTCATCAATAGCACATTTTCCCTTTAGATTTAGAAGAAGGGTCTCCAAATGGAAAAGTATTTAGACAAAATGACTAATCTCATACAGCACAGTCGAAAAAAAAGGGTTAACAAAAACTACAATGACCATCAAATCCTTAATTAGATACTTATACACACATACACACACACACATATACATATACATATCAACTTTCATTTAACTCCACTACAAGTGAAGACACCTACAACCTAATCAGCCACATTTCGAGTCAACCAGGAGAGTGGTCGGGGAAAAACTAGTAATAAAAATAGAAACGTTATACTAAAACAACATTTTTTTTCTAAAACACCCGTTAATTGTTAATTCGATGGAATCATAAGCAGAAACCCTAGATATTTCTTCCATGGATCTTACTAAAGTTATCAAAACAAGTTAAATTCAACACTCTCACACTTGCACGGTCGATTAGTTGTTACTATATCTCAATTACTGAAACAAAATGCCTCAAAATAAAATGAAAAAAACGAGCAATTCTCATGGAGAAACAAAGACAGGAAAAATAAAATCAGAATGATCCTCACGTGTTACGTTCAATGCTTATTCATGTTTGTTAAAAACTTCCACCACCCTAAAGAACCTCAATATTCCTCACGATCAGAAATGTGAGAAAACCAAACAGAACAGTAAATAATCTTAGAGTTGTTCCTTCTTCCGAAAACATGAATTGAGAGATATAATTTGGACAAATAAACATATATAGATTGTCCAACGGTTAGTGTGGGAATATAAATATTTATCCCTAGCAAGAATAAATGTCGATATGAAAGTGCAGATGTCAAACGATTAGGGTGGGAATTTTTTTTTCGGACGGTTAATAATTGGAATTAAAGTGCGCGATTTTATTTGTCCAAAAATAGGCCTAGGACTACGAAAATTGTGCAAAACTACTCCTAGTGCTACACACCAAACTTGCTTTTATATATAAACATACGAACACGCTATAGAATTTGACAGAAATGAGCAGCCGATCATGGTGATGATCAAAACTGCCACGCCTATTTATTCTGAAAATTTTAGTTCTTTCATTTTCTGATGAGACAATGAAGTCGTTGAGCTAGGAATAAGGAGTGGGGAAAATTGAGGAAATAGCCACAAAAGATAACATTAAACACTGCACCATCATTTTTTTCAGTTAAAGGGCAAAAGGTGATCAGACATATAAAAAATCTGGTAGGGTTTAAACTTGCTGTTTAATGGAGATAATTTTCTTACCTCAAAAATCCTCAAAGATGACACAAGCAAGGAAATCGATTTTTTTTGTAATGATGTCTATAAGCTTGCAAGGCCTACAACGACAAAGAAAAATTTGAGATAAAATGACGTAATTGAATATTAAGAGGTATCCTGACTCCAGATCACTCCTCACCTCACCTCACCTAAAACGTTATTTACATTTAAGGTCTTCAGTAAGTTAAATAAAATATATGAAGATGAGAAAGCTCCTATAATGCAGTATTGCATGAAAATTTTATCGACTGATCCCAGAAAATGCCACCGTTCATGTTTATGCTAAAAAAACTCCCTCCATGACAAAATATTTTTTTAGATACACAAAGTGTTTTTGCAGCATACCAGTATTCTAAATGATCTGAAGCTTTTGAAACATACCAGTATTCATGATTATGTTTGCGGAATAGACACCACCAGCAACAGGGAAGCTACTTCGGTTACAAATGAGAAGCTTCCATCGAGATATAGAACAACAGTGCAGCAGATTAGAGACAACTGTAAAACATCAATAAACAGAGCAACAATCAAGCACAGTTTCGATGCAATTATTATTGATACAACAATATAATAGAAAGAACTTGCATTTCGTTCTGCAAAGGGACGTGTTAAGTGAAGGAAAACAGTGTAAGACGTGGAGAAGAAATACAAGGGAAGAGGTACTTATGCGTTGAGGATTAATTTATGTGCACTACTCTCAAACACGTTTCTATAATCACATACATGGTTAAGATAATTGTTTTAAACGATTTCTTTTTTCGGTTTTTATGAAAAATAAGGTTTGAACAGATTAGTAAACAACATGTTAAATTCACATAATACATGGATAGAGTTTTGATATTTGTTAATTTTGTAAACGATGGCATGAGTTATTGTTTTAACATGTATGATCCTTTCTATACACGGATGGAACTTAAGGTTAGAATAAAAAATGATTTATTTTTTCGTCTTTCTACATCATGTTTCTGATAATTAATACATTACCCACATAAACACAGGAACAGGTCCTAACATGCGCATCCATTGATAGATCCAAATAACTAGTTAACACAAATCTTATAAAAAGATAAGCATTGAATCTTATGCATATATATAATTATATATATATATATATATATACACATACATATATCAAAGAGGCCATGCGAACAACACAAAAATTGCTATTATCATCATAAAATCAAACACATTTTCCCTTTTGATTTAGAAAAAAGGGTCTCCAGATTGAGAAGCATTTAGGCAAAATGACAAAGCTCACACAGCACAGTCGAAAAAAAGGGATAGCAAAAACTATAATCACCATCAAATCCTTAATTAGATACTTATATATATGAACTTTCATTTAACTCCACTGCAAATGAAGATAGTTTACTGGTTAGCATTTTGCACCCACACCTAATTTGACCATAATTCGAACCAATAACGCTACATTAAACCCACGATTTTCCCTAAGAAAAACACCCTGTAATTCCATGGAATCGAATGCAGAACCCTAAATCTTTCTCCCATGGATTTTCACTCCAATTATCAGAAACAAGTCAAATTCAACACTCTCACACTTGCATGGTCGGCTGATCGCTACTATAATTCAATTATAACTACATCAAAATGCCTCAAAATAAAATGAAGAAAAGCAAGCAATTTCTCATGGAGAAACAAAAAAATTAAAAAAAAAAAAATCAGATGATCTCAGAAAATTACCTCACCTGCTGCGTTCAACGCTAAGTCCTCCCTTAACCTATCTTCAAACAAACCCCGAAATGCACAATCTCCTGCAAAATTAAGCCCAAAAACATGTTAACAAAAAAAAAATCAGAAGCGATTAATTCAACAAGGATGAAACAGTCGATAATCGGAACGGAAATAAATCGAATAAATTAAAATTAAAATTAAGCAGCCCATCGACATGCGAAACGATGCATTTACCTAAAAATTCGAAGGAGAGAATTAAAATTGGGCGAGAAAACTGAGTGCGGAAGAAGAGATTCCTCGCACAGCACTCAGCAGAATGAAAAAACTCACTAAGCATACGTTTTAGTACTTACTATTTTCAGTACTAGTAAAAAAACAATTACGAAAATTTACTGAAAATTAAAACCTACGCGCCAATGAAGGAAAGTAAATCGAGTAATAATTTAATTGATTTTATTTATCTACAATTATTTTAATCGGTAAAATTTGGGTATCATTTTTCATTGTTGTGAGTGATTGTTAATTCTGAAATCACCGTTTATTGTATTTGAGTTAGGCCTTGTTTGCTAATCTTATTTTAAACAGCTTGTAAATTTTTACATATGATAAGCAGTGGCGGAGCCAGGATTTGTGATCAGGGTGGGCTAAAATTTTACGAGGGCTCGGAGGTAGAGCCTCCAAATTTTTTTAATGAGTTTTTTTTTGAAAATATAGAGCAAAATAAATAGAAATTTGTATATTTTAATTAAGTTATATAAATTAAATTGTATATTATCCAAAGTATAATTATTGGAGCTCTTTAAATTATATTACAAATTTCTTGGGTGGGCTAATTAAGTTGAATTAGGATTAAAATAGTATATAAAAGGGCTAACTAAACATAATTAGTATTAAAATATTGCATAAAAAAATAAATCAGGGTGGGCTTCAGCCCACCCACAACTCAATGTGGCTCCGCCACTGATGATAAGTTGTTTTAAGAGTTGATAAGTTGTAACGTATTAAGACAATAAAATATTTGGATAATAATTTTATAAATAATTTTTACTCATTATAAAATGTTAAAAAATAAAAGTAGTGTAGATGTACTTTTTATAAAAGATTTTATTTGTTTTTCAGCAGCTTTTTTTTTTTTACTTTTTAAATTATTGAAAGAAAAAATCCAAACACTTTGAATGAGTTTATAAGCTATCAAAATATCTTATAAACTCTTTCTAACCATTTATAATCTTAAGCAAGCACTAATTTGACCATAAGAAATTATTGATGGGTAAATCAAATAATAATTAATTGATTTTATTTAATCTATAATTATTTTAATTGGTAAAGTTTTTTTTGGATATCATTTGGTAAGTGATTGTTAATTTTTAAATCGACATTTATTGTGTTTGACTTTGGTTTGACCAGAAGAAATTATTGGTGGGCAGAGTGGTAGTGGGAGTAATTGAAAGCAAGTAGCATGAATTTTGTACACTCGCGTGTAGACAAGTTATTTTTTCGATATTGATGAAAAAGTTATAGAGGACTGGGATTTTATTATAAGGCCCACCCTTTGCCCTAGGCAACTTTGGAAAAGGCCTATAAAATAGGGGTGTTGATTCGGTAATATCGAATCGTACAATAATTTTGATTTATCGAAATTATTGGTACTTCGAAAATTTGTATCGTTTATCGAACTAAATTACTTGATACGGAGTTTTACCGAATTATTTTGACTTTTTTGGTTCGGTACTCAGAAAATTGAAAATATTTTTTAATATTCTAAAAATGTAAAAAATATATTTAAACTAATTATTTCTTGAATTGACATTTAAATTTCAATAATTGGACGTAAAAGAAAATGTGATTGTCAATAGAGACTAATTTGTAAATACTGAAAAAATATCGAATCTAAAAGTATTATATAATATGTTATAACCTTAAAAATTTAAAATAAAAGAAAAAAAATATTTATTTATTAAATATTTCGGTATTCAGTACGGTACGGTATACCGGACATCAATACTGCGTACTGTACCAAAATATGTTTACCGATTCGCTATTTGGCATGTGCCAAACTTTCGATTTGATTCAGTTCAGTTCAATCGGTTTACGGGTCGCTACTACAAAAGATAACATTTAGTTAATAATATTGCTACTATAATTTGAATGCCCAAAATTTTATTATATACAAAATTGCGTAGGGCCCTCTACAAGATAGATCAATTTTTAGAATATTTTGAATTTAATATATAAGATTCTCTATCTTCATCTTTTATTGTAATTATTATGCAATAATAATGTCACTGTGATCATGAAGCATTATCACCTCTTAGAGTTGGGGGTTTATAAATTATATTTTAATAGGATGGGAGTATCAACTAGAGAAAAAAAACTATTTTATAAAATAGTTGCATATATTCGGTTTATTTGATGTCACAGTTGGTGAGATCTATCGAGTGATTATTAACCGTTGATCAGTATATAAATACACGCACTTATATATATGTACGCTTGGTGAGTGGTTTTTAACCACATCAATAGTTAAAAATTCATCGATGTATATAATATGGTATTATAGGATATCAATGGCCATATTTATTCCTTATCTAGATTCTGGCTGGGGAGCATTTGTGTTAGACAAAATCATAAAAGTAATGAAGATTCAACTTTTTTTTATAGCTGATTATTTTACTAAACATTGGTCAAATAGAGAATTTAATAAATTATTTTTTTCACCTTCTGAATACATTCGCCACCTATTTATTTATTAACAATCTAAAAGAAAATTACGCTCAACCACGTAAAGTAAGGTCACATTACAAAAATCTCTCTCATGTTTGGATAATTACAACCACCGAGTTCAACTGTGTACTTATCTAACACTTTACCCTTACAATGTCATATTTACCTACTAAATGAAAGGTTTTTTTCGTAAGAAAATACATAATTAAAGGAGTAGTTGTAATTTTCCAGACAATTTTTTTTTTTTTTTATAATTTGACCTTATCTCATGGACTTGACCTTAATTTGCAGTAATATATATTAGTGCATCTCTTCATTGGTCTTTTCTATGTCAGGCTCTACTATTTTTCTTTACCACGAGTTCCAACTCACTTGTCCTTTTCATATGAGACTTCATTATTTTTTTTCTTAGAGCAACTCCAAAGAGCAAACATCAAAATAGATCATCAATAATTCAATTGATGTTCGGTTCAACTGATGTTCGGTACGTGTTTGTGATATCTGCATATAACTCAATCTACTCGAACCGCATACATAAAAACGAATCGTCATTTTTTAAAGCTTATTACTAGCGGAAACTTAATACTCATTTCAAATTATGTTTATCTCGTTCAAAACAGAAATTACTTCGACGTTTACGTTACGGAACATCAAAGTAATTGAACTGTTTGGCGATTCCACTGGAATTGCTCTTTACACGAGTTTCGTAATACTGGTGGGCTTGATGATTTATCTAATTACAACGGTCATTTAATTTTAGTACGAGACTCGCTGTAGAGTATAAGAATTTACGATTAAAAAAACCCCGTTGCAAATAGCAAGCCCCAAAAAATACGATGATCACCATAATTTTCTGCTGATTTATAAATATGGTGTTCCTGTCTCAGAATAACATATTTTCCAGTTGCTCGTAATTTTCGTAATAACGAGCAGCTTCAAGATCATTCAGATAATTCATTAAAGGTTCATCAATTAGATAGACAAATAATACAAGTCATCATCATAGAATATGGTCCAGGTTATTTTTTGTCGACATAAACAATTAATGCAGCAAAACAAATAAGTCTCTCAATCCCGAAATGGTGCAATATCAGAAATTAGAAATTCCAGCAATTTAGGAACCAAGTGACGGAAACTGCTTCCTAGCATGCTCCGGTACCAGTTTCGAAAGTAGTTCCAAAGATGCTCCCTTTATCTCTGAAATTTTATGTATGCACAGAACTCAAATCGGGATTAAATAAATAAATATATAATGACAAATAAAATCAATAAATCGAGAAAACGAAAATACCTGGAGGTTTGAAGTTGAAAAGAGGTGGCAATGGCCGACTATTAGGAAGCCGAGTATTAGGATCACGGAGCTCATCGAAAAACGGGTGTACACAAGCTTCCAGCTGAGATAATTACATAAATAAATTAATTAAAAAAAATTAATCCAACTAAAACATATATTAGTTATTTAATCACATATTACATTATCATGGACACGTTGGTCCTAGTTCCTAACAAATTCGATCAATCTTATCAATCCCATCGTAATCCCCAAACGATGTATTATACTTGAACTACAGTAGCAACATTATAATAGTGAGAGGACTGAGTCTAAATTTCATTTCGCTCTGGCTTTAAGCACTGAGTCATCTTTTTTTTATAGTAAGAGATCAAAACAAAGCAATAAATGATGCATCATAACAAGATGGAATACTCACAGCAGAATATCTTAAGTTTGGAGAGTACTGAAGAAGTCTCGATACAAGATCTACGGCTTCAGGTGGGGTCCGTTTGTGAAAAATCTGCAAAAACAGCAAACATGAAACATAATCAGAACCAATAATACTAAATTATTTGAAAAAATGATTCTTAAAAAATAGTGGGGGGCCGATTCCCCCCATCGTCATATGAGTATATGATTGCAAGCATTGGGCATTAGTGGAAGAAATGAATCTTAACCTTGTGCCACGGATGGGCCTTAATTTGAGGGAACTTGAACTCTGTGTAGTTTGGATTCATACATTTTATTTCCTCACGAGTTGGTGTTCCAAGAACCTAGGCGGAACAAAATGTCAGAACATATTGACTTTGTCGTTTGGAGATCACATGGGGAAAAAATAAGAGTTAAGATATTCTTCTAATTAAGTACCTTGATAATTTCCACAAGCTGGTCAACCCCACTCTCACCAGGGAAGAGAGGCTACATCATCAAGGTCAAAATGGTCAATATATAAAGAGTCAGAAACTATCAAATTTTCTTTATTTTCTATTTCCTGAATGAAAATGTTTTAGGGTTGTTAAATTAAGAACCTGTCCAAGAAGAAGCTCTGCTAGGACGCAACCGACAGACCAGATGTCGATTGCACTTGTGTATTCGGTTGCCCCAAATATCAGTTCTGGTGCACGGTAGTATCGAGAACAGATGTATGATATGTTCGGCTCGCCCTTGACCTGTTACATGTGATTGAATATATTAACTTGATTCCATTGGATATAGCTGATACCAATATTAATGAGATGGGAGGCACACTAATTTAGGTGTCTAAAAGGAAAAGCAAACAGAGAAAAAATTGAAATTTAAAATCACTAAAAGATGGTTGGTGGATAAAATAATTGAAAATTTCTTATTGAATGGACAACAAAAGTACCCAATATTATTGATTAAATCTACAAAAATCTGATATTTTTACTTCTCGGTTCAAGATTTTTTTGTTTGACCCGACAAGCATTCTCCCTCAATTACTCACTCGCCAACGGAAACCATGAGCTGATGCAAGCGAGGATTAACAGCAAAAAATCACAGTCTGAAAATGCCGAGCATAAAATAAAAATTACCAAAACTTTTGCACTTCCAAAATCACAGAGTTTTAGCTGATGAGTATGGGGATTGACCTGCAATAATAGACTGTATTAGTCAATTGTAGAACTAGAAAATGCTTAACCACTTATTCGTTCAGTTCATACCAAAAGATTTTGAGGTTTGATGTCCCTGTGACAGACTCCTATGCCATGAATATATGCCAAAGCTCTAAAAATCTGCATACCCAAAAAAACATGAGATAAGACACTATCAAGAGACTACAACTAATATTTCAGAACATTACACTCACGAATAACAAATATACCGTAACTTTCACAAAACCTGGTCATGTTTAAGAGGTATAAATGACATCGCTAATCGACATATATCTCCATATAAAGGAATTTGAGAAAAAACATTTGAAAGCAAAAACCAATTGCTAATGACCTATGGTTCAGATGAAAAAGTTACCATAGAGTTCAAGTTACTAAATGAGCAAAAGCATTCAGCCTTAACAAATAACACCACAAATATAAATGTTAATAAGGCATAAGTACATAAGAATTAGACCTGATACGTGTAGAGCTTGACGTATATCATAGGCATTCGCTGGTTTGCTTTGCTGTAGTGTCTGGCCACACGGTAGACTGTCTCCGGCACATATTCGAGAACCAAATTGAGGTACAGCTCATCCTTGTCAGTGGTCGAGAAGAAGCAGTGCTTAAGAGAAACGACGTTTGGGTGATCAAGGAGGCGCATTGTCTGCAATTCACGGTTTTTATATCTCTTATCCTGCAAAACTTTTTTGATAGCGACCGTTTCACCCGTTTCAAGACACTTGGCCTGCAATATAACAAGCATAGTCCAATTTGAATAAAACAACGTACATATCGGTGCATTTTCTTTAATTTTAAAAAAGTAAAAGTTGACGGTCATCAGTAACAGAATATCAATGTCAAGGAAATATATATAGAAAATGGCACTCACCTGAAACACAATCCCGAACGATCCCTGTCCTACAATGCGCTCTGCCATATAACTTATAGTCTGGTAAAATAGAGACAAACAGCAAATCAGTGAGGCAAATCAAATGGCCAAAAAGTTTAGGACACGTGGTTAAACATGAGCACGTATTAAGACTCATAATTAGGAAATTCTTTTACTAGCATTCTCCGAATAGAGAAGTAATTACAATACGACAAATTTTCGTTTTAATGACAAAAAAGGTAGAAAATCTATTACAAACATATCATGGGAGAAACATCTAAAGCTGCTTCACTATAATGGATATTATCCCTTAAACAAATCAAGAAATCCTTCAAACTTCATAGTTCGCCAACGCAATCAAAAAGTCATATACAGATGCCTAATTAATGTACAGCTTCTTCTAGTCGAATGGAGCGATTCATCATTACATCGAAAACATAAACAGGAACAGACGATATTTCGAACGTTAATACCTGCTTAGGCTGACCATTTTTACCGCCAATAGTTGTCACAATTATGTGCCCTGTCTCGGTACCGTTTCCATCTACTACAGCTGCTTCCATTTCCTACAACCAAAATTGAAAATTAAATAAAAAAAAAGATTAAATTCGTTAGCAATCAACATTACACCGGACCTGCAAATCGGAAAAAAACACGAAATAGAAAAATATTCCGTACAATTTCAACCTTCTCCACTTTTTCATCCTTGATTTTCATCTCATTGATTTCTTCCGGAAGTTTGCTCACAAGCATCAAGTCACATTTAGGCTCTTCATTCGCTCCACCACCCGACGCCATAACCGAAAACTCAAATAGATTGGAAACACTTTGGAATGAGCTTTAAATTAGAACACTCTGTCAGCTTTCAAACCCTAACCAACAAACCAAAAATTAAAAAAAAAATCAAGGGGAAGAAAAAGATGAACAGATCACGAAAAACAACCCCCGCAGACTAATTTCCAAAACATTTACCCCCAAAACCACATAACATAGTATAATTTCACGAAGAAAATTAAAATTAGGGCAAACATACCTGCTGCTAGGGATCAATCATCTTCTGCAAAACCTCGTAGTTTGGCGTTTGCTTCAATTTTTAACACAGCTCGTACTATCAAAAAAAGAAACACAAAATTTCGACAAGCCTTGACTGGAGGATACTCTCTCTCTCTCTAGCTTCTCTCTCTCGGTCTGGTTTTCCGGAGACGAAGCTTTGACTAGTGGATACTCTCTCTCTCTCTCTCCTCTTTCTCTCTCTCTCTCACTCTAGAATGTGTACCTCCACCCTTAAATTAAATGTGATCCTCTCTGTTCTCATGTGAAGCAAAAAGAAAAAAAAGAAAAATTATGGCGGACCCCAAAGGATTTCATCAAATCCAGTTCAGACAGAGTTTCCGAGTTCGGGAAGCTGGAATGAGGTGCCACGTGTTAGCTCCTGGTTGGAAGTAAGGGGACCGTACGTCATGGTCTTTGACTCTATTTGGGAATCTGATGCCAACGTTGATTTATGGGCCCTGTTTTGGGTTTCATGTTAGGTCTTTCAGATGGGCCAATGTGGGCCCCATGGCGAACAGTGAACCCGGACCCAATAATTGAATTGGAAAATTAATTATTTACGAAAATGGGATAAAAAGTATAGGGTAAATTACAATCACTCCTGATGTATGGTCAAATTACGAAAACCCTCCTCCTGTTTGGATAATTATAACAATCTTCAACTATAAATCTTCTTACCCGTCCATCCTTGCGGTTTCAAAATTAGTGGAATCTTCGAGATTATATGGAATATTATCACTTTAGTACCCGTTTTATTCCATTCGAACTCCACATTTTGAAGCAAGATGATCATAATACGTGTTGTTTGGCTTGTATATATGAGATTGAGGTACATCAAAAACTGTATTTTAGCAAATTCCACGAAATCTAGATGATTATGTTGAATTTGATACCATAAAGCTGGAGGTGTAAGAAAAAATCATATTTAAGGGGTAGATGTAATTATCCAAATAAGAGGGTTTTTTTTGTAAATTGACCATACCTCAGGGGTAGTTGTAATTCACCCAAAAGTATATAATGAGTAATATATTATAGTGTAAACTGTAAATTACGGTCAACCTGCGATAAGGTCAAATTAAGAAAAAAAATCTTTTGGTTTGGGTAATTACAACCACACTCCTCAGCTATGAATCTTCTTACACGTCCACCATGCGGTGTCAAATTTAGTGGAATCTTCTATATTATTTGGAATATTCTTCAGTTTGTACCCGTTTTACCACATTCGAACTCCACATTTTGAAACAAGATGATAATAAGATGTCTCTTAGCTTGTAAATATCAGATTATGGTGCATCAGAAACTGCATTTTTACACACAGTGAGTATAAACTAGAGAACATTTTACGAAATCTAAAAAATTATGTTGAATTTGACAACATGAACATGTAAGAAGACTCATAGTTGACGAATGACCAAACAAGAGGGTGTTTTTGTAAATTGATCTGACCTTATAAGGGTGACCGTAATTTACCCTAGTATATTCTATTGAGAATTATTGAAGAGGTAAATATTTTTTGAATATATTGTAGATGAAAAATGAAGATATAGGTGGTGTTTGCAAATGCTTTTTGAAAGTGATTATGCGGTTTTTTTTGCTAATAATTTGTTTTTAGGTGTTTGCAAAATCAACTTTTGCTTTTGCTTCTCTTAAAATAATCTGCTTTAAGCTATTTTTTTAAAAGCACCCCTAACCCTGCTTTTTCAATTTTAGTTCATTTTCCGAAATATTTGCAAACACCCCCAACTTTTAGAAATAAGCACTTAAAACTAACTTAAATCACAATCACTAACTTCTGCTTTTAAATAATCATTTGCAAACACCACCATAATGATTATAGTGAAACATTATTATGTTATTATTTTTGCAAAAGGTAAAAGGGCTGGTAAGTAATTATGTTCAACACTTTCATAATTCTTTTTTTTCTTCTCCCTATTTCCCAACAATTAAAATAATTAGAAACAATTATTGGGAAAATGCAGACTAAGTGATGAAATGGTAGCAGTCCAAACATTGTAAGGGTAAAAAGCTCAAAACATAATTAGTTATATACAACACATTTCGTAAAATAAGCGACTCTACGAACTCGTATACTTCCAGTTATCAGGTATACAAATCACGATTTTCCAAATCCAACGGCTTTTTTAATTTTTCGGCGTATATCAATCCTTTCAGGACTCGGCAATCCAGTTCTCTCCTCGTATTTCTTTTCCAACGCCTGCCAGAAAAAGAGGGTTCATCAATTTATTATACTTAATGAAGTCCCACAAATATTAGCAACATAGATTCTATACGTATATCAGTATATCAATAACATAAACGTAACATCATCACTGTGCATTTTCTCAGAAAACAAAAGGATAAAGATCACTTGCCTGTAACTCCGCACGAATAGTGTCGAGTATTTCATCACTCATCTTATCAAAGAAAAGGATTCCCTGCAAATGAATAGACAAGTTAGAATGATTGTAATAAGGTGACTACTTCCGATGAGATTACTAATCACTAAGGCCTCGTTTGGGAAAGTAGATAAGATTGATTGAATTGATTAGGTATCTTATATTTGAGTCTTGTGATTATACAATCCTTGTATTGGGTAATATCCTTCGCATATACAAGGTCAGAATTCGGGAACTTATTTATCATGGCCCCGTCTTTTTCTTTATTTTTTTTATCATGGGCTTCAAAACCTAAAACCCAAATATTTGACAAATCTTGATTATATAGTGTATCTATACCTAATCATGATTCCCAAACAAGGCCTAACTATATTCCAGATGTCGAACAAACATTCTGGAAATTTCACCTAAAACCCGTTAACACCTAGATTTGGCCTTTAACATATACACGACAATGGTCATTCAGACAAGATTTGGTGTGAGTTGATGAATTTTAGTGTCTTAATTGCAAATTTGATGCCTTACGTTTCTCAAGAAAAGTGAATATTAGTATCGAATAGATCAAGAATGCAAACCCCATATATAATTATTTGCAACCCGTAACCGCGCAAGTAACAACCGAAGTATGGCATTTATAAAATAAGAACCTGTAGATGATCAAATTCGTGCTGAAAGATCCGGGCGGGAAATCCAGTCAAGTTAACTTCAAACTTTGCACCGTTAATATCTTGTGCTTCAACCACTAATGAATTTGGTCTCTGCAAAGTCAAAAAAAAAAAAACCTAAATCAATCGAAGATCAAACCTAACTAGAAACGGACTTTTCAAATTAAATGATAAATCTAAGTTGCTACTATAAAGCCACGATCAATTACATGGTGGATGGATGTGATATGTTAATTACATCACAAAATACAAAAGACATGAAATTTATCGGAGTTCAGTACAATAATCATACCTCGACATCTGCGTAAACTCCAGGGAAGGATAAACAACCCTCGTCAAACGGTACTATCTGTCTTGAATATCTATTGATGCGTGGATTTACAAGAACAATCTCCTCTCCTTCGCCGCGTTCGCCAGCTGGATTAAACACCATAACCTGAACGTTCATCCCAACTTGGGGTGCTGAGAGCCCAACACCATCATCTCTGTGAAAAAATGAATCCAACATATGTTGTTCATATTCCCGTAATTACTAATTACCAAGAATCTCAAATAAGAAAAACGTGGGAAAAAAAAAAGCACCATCATCTCTGTGAAAAAGAATCCAACAAAATATTGTTCATCTCCCCGTAATTACTAATGACCAAGAATCTCAAATAAGAAAAAAAAAATCTCCGTTTCAGTACTGCTGGATTATTGCATATTATGAGTTCAACGAAACTTTTGAAAGCATTTCCGAACAATTCTAAAAACAACTTTCGAGATTGCAGAGTTGCATTAGTTATTTCGTAGGAAGAAACAGAAACAGAACAAAAGATGAACGGTATTTCCTCGTCATAAATAGAAAATGTGATTGTTTCGTATCTCAAATACGATGCCGAGCATCTGGCCCTAACAGGATATACTACAACTTTTGGAATTTATTGCGAAAATTTAATTTCGAGGCTTTAAGTCATAAATGAACTCAAATAATCTGACTGATGGATGCAAAAATGAAGGAAAAAACTCACTTGTACATTACATCAAACATCTCATCTACAAGCTTTTTCAATGTCTCATCAAACGTGTCAACTCGCTTGTTCTTGGCTCTCAATTTCGGGTCTGGATACTCTATTATCTTAAGAGGCCCCTCAAATTGCAAATCAGACGCTATCCACAAAAAAAAAAAAATTTAAAAAAAAATTAAATAGCAGTCAATCTCATTTCTACAATTCTGCATAGAACTAATTTATCATAAAAATTAACACTACGGCGGAATGAATTACTTCTTAGTTCTGATTTTTTAATGGATTCTAAGACACTTACGAGAGGCTACTGCGGATGAAAAGCTTCGGCGAGCCTGTGCAAAAACCGGCTGAAATTCACGCTTACAACGGCGGGAGGATGAAGCAAACAAACCGGCCGAGTTACTGAGACGGCGGAAGTGAGCGTAGAGAAGAGTTCCGCGGTGGTGGAGAAGTGGGAGAATTGTGTGACTGAGGGCGGTGGAGTGGAGGCCAGTCGCAAAAGCCATTACCACACGTATTAGCGGCACGAATTGTGTGAGAGCGCATTTGATTTTTGTTTTGAATTTTTATTTTTGACTTGCTTTTTAAAAATTGCTATTTACTGTTTATAACTTCCAAACCTCTATCTCTTTAGGAAAAAAAACCTCTCAAAAGTTTTAGAAGAGAATTTGCTTAAAAATCATTTTTATTGGTGTAATATACAAACACAAATGAGCTCATCGGGTGAAGATTGAGATACCAAATATAACGAGGTAAAAATTCCGTCTTTTCGATCGAAAAAACTGGGCAAAACGCGTAAAAGTCCAACTTGAGCGCCCATTCATGCAGTGCACGCCCAAGTTGGGCGTGCAAACTGCATTTGGGCGCCCGAGTTAGGCGTCGAGTGCAAAAAAAAAAATTATTTTGAACGCCTAAGATGGGCGTCCGGCATTCGTACACGCCTTGGGCGCTCATCTTGGGCTTTCCAACATGTTTTTGCGGAAAACAAAGTCCTACAAATCGATTTGTAGGGCTTTTTAACATGAAATTGGTTCCGTAATCGACCCACCTAATGCATATTACACATAAAATAGTCGAAATTACTTCAAAAAATCGAAGCACAATCCTTCTTCAAGCTTGATTTTGAATTTTCGATTTTTTTTTTTTTTTTGCTATTTGCAGTTTGGGGAATTTTTGGGTTTTTTTGGAAAGTTTTGAGGTTTTAGAGAGAAAAAGTGTTTTTTGTTATGAACCGTAAATAGTAATTTTTAAATCGTAAAAAACATTTCATATTTATTTTTATCTTTTTGCCTTTGTTTACCTTCTTCGTTATCCAATTACTTTTTTTTCCATTTTCCTGATAATAATTTTAATATCTGAATTATTCGTCAAAAATCATCATTGATGCATTTATAAATTGGAAACTTGATTGAAATATTTTAATAATGATGTCGATTTTTTCTTTTTTAAATCTGATTGTTGGAATAACATTTCAATCTTTTCTAACGGAATTGGAATATAAAATAATTTCCTACAATTTAACTCTTTTAAACTATACTTTAATATTAGGGTTTATTTTGTAGACCCCTTATTTCTAAATTATATATAATTAACTATCAAGTGTATTATACCTTAGGGGAATCCCCTCATTTCGAAAATATTTTGACATACTCCCTTCGGCCACCTTGAAGTCCCTATAATACCTTTTTAAAATCAGTTTTAAACTCTAGCCACTCACAATCGTCTCTCTCTTCCCCTCCCAGATTTAAAATCCCGCATTCATATATCTTCAATCAGCGAAATTGCTTCCCTGAGTCATAACTCTCTCTCCGGTGGTCGGAATTCGATTGTTTAACTACCGTTGGATTCCTCTCGCCGAGCACTTTCTTTCTGGTGGTGATTTCATTTAGTTTGGAGCGCTGATCCGTTTCTGCAATTTTTTTTCCTTCGACGACGATGGTCTTGCCAGAGGTGTATTTTGTGTTCCACCAGTCGAAATTTTACGGGCTACCTACCATTGGATTCCTCTCGTCGAATTCTATATTTTGATGATAATTTCGTTTATTCTTATGTTTTCAGATTTATTTCTATATGTTTTTTGCATTTGTAGGCGCACAGAACGGTGGTTATTAGAGACGACTACGGGTTTTGGTAGGAGGCGAGGGGGTGGGGAGTCACTATCTGTTTGATTTAAAATATGTAGCATTTCCCAGCAATAACCTCTCTCTCCATCTCTCGATCTCTTAGTGTTTGTTGATTTTTTAGTGTTTTGATGTTTCTTCAAATTTTGTTGATTTGCACTAAAGTAATTTTTTATTTATTTTGCAATTGCAGCTTAATGGAAGCAATTGATCATCTCCTTGAAGGTGTCAAAAATTTGGTTAAAGTTACATGTCTTTTAAGTTACAGTGTTCAACACACTGTATACATTACTATACATATAGTAGTAACATGTAGTTACATATGCATATATTTGTGTATTTTCGATTTGTATTTTATTGATTGTGAGATGATTTATAATAATATTAATATTGAAATTTGTAAATTTTTGTTGGTGTTTATGAATTTCTTTTGTATAAGCCATTATTCGTGTGTGTATAGAATTGATCGACTAAAACTATGGGGTAAAAAACTAACATAACTACGAATTACTATAGATACTACAGTTACATGTTGTTATTTTCAGTACAGTAAACATATTGTTTTGAAAATAAAAAATAATAATAATAATTTTTTTTGATTTAAAAATAATTGAAAAATTAAAAAAATTAAAAAAAAGTAGATATGTATAAATTTAACAAACATGTTTATTATTAAAAATAATAATAATAAATAAACAAATAAATCAGCGAAAATGATAAATGAATGCTTAATGCATTTTGGCCGAAAATTGCATATAAGGGTAGCATAGGACTTTCATTTCTGCAGGGGTATGTCAAGTGATGATTTGAGATTGAGTTTATCTCTAATTTATTTGGTGGCTATGTGGTATGTAAAACAACTCGTTAATATTAAGGTGTATTAATAGGAACTCCTTTTAGTGGGTTTTTTTTTTTTTTTTTTTTTTTAATTAGAGTGATCCATTTCTACTTTTAATATTAGTAGAAGATCCACTATTTTTTGTCATTCCCAAATTAGTCTTTTGTAAGCAACGATACAGTCAGATCTTCAGACATTCTCAAATTCTCGCGAACCCAATCCCTGCAAAACTCCTACTCCAATGTCCTAAATGGCTGTTTCGACGATTGTTTCGGCGACGATTGCTACGGCAAAACGGCATAGTTGTTTTCGGAGGGTACACACTAGCAGCATTTAGCAGAAAAATATTTCTTAATTTACTGGGCCATGAGCCTAAGTTTGAAGCACATTACAATGAAGACTCAATTATCTTTAGGTAAGGTTTGAGCCCGACAATTTTAATTAACCAACTTCAGCCCAATTATCGAGGTATAATAAATGTTCTAACTTATTTGTTAAGGTACAATCTTATTATATGAGTAATACTACAATTTGTATTCTCTTAACTATTTCTACTATCAACACTTCTGACTTGAGTGTTGGAGGGATTTTTGCTGGGTCAACTCCGGCCTAGTTCACATGTTCTCTAATCGCAAGTATCTCAGGACCATCTAACTCGTGAGCCAATGAACCACTTTGCTCTTCCAGCTCATTTTACCTCAATTACTTAATGTGATCTACCTTTAGCATCACCACTCAGAGTTTGAAGTTGGCGATAGAGCAGGTTGGGTTGTACCACGAGAAAACAAAACCGAAATGTACAACCAATGACCTTCCAAAAACAGGTTTAAAATCGGCGAAGCCATTATTAGTAAGTAGTAAAACAAATTTTAGAGAATACTTAGAATGTCCTATTGAATAAGTTTTTAGATAATATTTGGTGTAAGCACTAGTTAATTTAAAAAAAAAAACATTGAAAAATACTGTTACATAGTTATCGTTCATCCATTTGGTAGTTCCCGTCTTAATTACTATATAAGTCTTAAGTTAATTACTATTATGTGCTATTGTTGTCGGACGAATCAGAGGCGAGAATGATGATGACTACACATGCAAATTATGACATGCTTGAAACAAGAAATGCGAGATATCATCAACGATCGAACGACTGCTGTTAGAAGAGAATAGATGAGGAAAATAATTTGTGAGCAGCGTCATCGTGTAGCCTTACCGAAATTTGGGCATGACAAGATTTCATTCTGCTTACCAGATTGAAATATAAAGTTTGGTTTGGTAAATTACCAAATTTTCAAAAGAAAAATAAAAAAATATATATAACTAAAAGTTTATTTTATTTTCATAATCACTTTATGTAATTCCTATTATCGAAGTCAATCAGAATTTTAATCTAAAAGAACAAAGACTAATGTAAGGAAAAGAGAACCACGGGAGAAAGTAAGAATCAACTAGCCATAATCACTACTTAGTGTTTCCATATTTCCTGACATTTTAAAAGCATCTTTGTAAGTACGTAACTCTTGAACCGTAAATAATTATTAAAAAAATTAAAAAAAAAAAAAACAAAAAACCAAAAATAAAATAATAAAAATTCAAAACAACGAGAAAACATAGTTTACGGTGTCAGCCACAATTTATTTTTAATTTTGTTTAATAATTATTTAAACTGGGAGGGGTGATTTTTTTGTAATTTTCAAACTTAGATCAAATGGTGTTAAGGTCAAAAGTGTGAAAACTAATGGCGATAGCTATTACATTGAGACAATTTTTCAAGTACATGGGGCAAATCGATGTAATTGACAATTGAAATTGGAAGGGGTAAAATATCCGTGCCAAAATTTGGGCATGACAAGATTTCATTATGCTTACCAGACCGAAATGTACAGCTTGGTTTGGTAAATTACCAAATTTTCTGTTGGTATATATATAACAATCTGCGTAAATTGAAAAAATACTTACTTGTTTGTCGAAAAGAGGAATTGTCAAAAACACAAAGAACGATCGAGGCTTGCCAAAGCAATTCCCTTAAGACAATATTTCCGGGCTGTCAACGGTGCACAGTCTCTTCCCGGTAGTCTCCCAAGGTACAACGATCGGTTGTCGAATATTTGCACGAATATTCGACCCACGGCGAACTTGAACAACGAACGGAACTTTGACGAAGAGAAAGAAAAATATAAAGAACTATCTCTCAATTGCCGATTAAATTCAGTACAGAATTGGCCAGATTCTGCCTTTATTTATAGGTTGTAGAGATCCATTCACAGAGGGATGCAATGGTTGGAGAAGAAGCAGAAGGTTGTGTCTGTTCTTTTTACTGAGTTCAAAAAAACGTAGGAAAATTAATTGGTCATGGGCCAATTAATTAATTTGGTTTGGGCCAAGTATTTTATTATTTGGATTTTGGTTCAAATAATTTAACTAACTACTAAATGTCCCAAAAAATAATATTTGTGGACATCTAAACCCAAACTAGTCCTATCACTCGATCACACCGAGCGCACATCTTTTGAACTTTAACCATTTAATCAAGACAATTTTCATTCACTTTACTTCATGATTTTGATCAAGT